AAAAAAAATGAGTTTAAAAAATCAACTTTTAATTTAAAAAACAATGTCTTGTGTTTCTAAACTTTCGGAAATCTCTTAAATGTTAAGAAATTAACCAAGGTGAGCATATACAAACATATAAAAGGATAAAGTTCGTTTGGCTTAGGTTTAAATAGAATTTAAAAAAACTTGGAGAATAAAGATTACACCATAATATAAATACTATATGCTAGAAAATATCAAACTACCCTTACAAAGACACATAAAGCAATATAATAATAATATCTAATATCTCCCCCCAAAATCACGATGCATTAGCAGAAAGCATCGATAGTTTGTCAATAAAGAAATGAAAAACATTTAATGGAATGTATTTTCTCAAAAAAATCAATAATCTATAAAGCGGGGGAGAGAAACGGTAGAGCAATTGTCTCATGTTGATGATGATGAGTGAAGTGGAAATCAATCTCAATGTATTTGGTACGTCCATGAAAGAATGTGTTGTTGGCAATTTGAGTGATACTTTTATTATCACAATGAATTGGAGTTGGTTTAGAAAGAATGACACTCATATCATAAAGTAACCAATGCAGCCAAATTATTTCACTAGTTGTGGATTCCATAGCACAACACTTGGAGTTTGTAGGAGAATGAGAGACAATATCATGTTTCTTACTCTTCCAAACAATAAGAGAGACTCCAAGAAATATATAAAACCATATGGTAGACTTATGATATGTGGGGTCACCGGCCCAATCAGTGTTAGAGTAAACATGTAGCTCCAATGAGGACAATGAGGGAAAGAGAAGATTTTGAAATTGGGTTCCCTGAAAATAACGACATATGTGAAGAACAATTGTCAAATACAATATAGTAGGAGAGGAAAATAACTTACTAACAATATGAACAACATAGCAATATATAGTCTAGTAATTATAAGGTACATCATATTGCCAACCAAAGTATGATACAAGGTGGGATCTAGAAGACGAACACCATAAGATGGAGTATAATTCATATTCAACTCAAGAGGACTATATGATACTCTAGTATCATAAATGAGAGTTTTTTAAATAATTTTGGCAATGTATTTGGATTGAGTGAGAAGATATCCCCTAGGAGAATAGGAAACTTCAATGCCCAAGAAGTAGCGAAGAGTGCCTAAGTCTTTCATCTCAAATTACTTGGCTATATAATTTTAAATCATTAATTTCATCCATATCATCACCTATAATAATCATATCATCAACATATAATGAGAGTAAAATACAACCACAATAAGTAATCTTGAGAAACAAAGAAGTGTTATGATTACTAGAGTGAAATACCAATAGATGTAATCACAATGCTAAACTTATCAAACCAAGCTCGTGGGTCTTGTTTCAGACCATATAAATCCTTTTTCAACTTACACACTTCCCCTTGATTATGAGAAACACCTAGAGAGGGTATCATATAAAATTCCTATTGAAAATCACAATTCAAAAATGCGCTCTTAACATCTATTTTTAAAATATGCCACTAAAGAATAGATGTAATTGCAATAAGAGTGTGAATAATAGTCATCTTAGAAACTGGAGTAAAGTTTATAGAGTTTACAATCATAGAACTGCTTCAGTATAAGAATTTATTCATGTTGCATTTGATGAGTTTTCACCTCAAAAGACGAGGAAAGGTATTTGTTCTGATGTTTCAAGTGTGATAACAAATAAGTTGATCAACGAAAAAAGTCCCAAAGAGGCTCCTTCATCTCTAAAGGATGAGGACACTAATGAATATAAAGAGGAAAGCTTACATGCGGATGAAAAACAAGAGACCTCAAACCAGCTGCTTCAAGATTGGACAATCACAAAGGATCATCCGTTGGATAAAATTCTGGGAGATATCAAAAGAGGTGTAAGTACTAGATCACATGTCATTAATTTTTGTAAGTACTCTTCTTTCATTTCTCAGATTGAAACTAAATTAATACATGATGCTTTACTTGAAAATGGATGGTTACTTTCTATACAAGAAGAACTTATCCAATTTAAATGTAACGATATTTAGGACCTTGTTCCACATCCAGTTGATAAAATCGTCATTGGTACTAAATGGGTATTTAAGAACAAGATGGATGAAAATGGCATAATTACTATAAATAAAGAAAGGTTGGTGGCAAAAGGATATAGTCAAGCTGAAGAAGTATACTACAAGGAGACTTATGCTCATGTAGCTCGTCTATAAGCTATTAGACTCCTTTTGGCATTTGCTTGCTATCTGGATTTTAAGTTTTATCGAATGAATGTTAAATTTGCTTTTCTTAGAAATTGTATGACTCGAATCACAACTTTAACTTGACTCGAATCACAGTAAAATAGGTCACTTTTCTTCATGAGATCTTATTTCACGCTACTTGCTCATTTGACTTATATTATGAAATATTCTTGACTCGAATCTAACTAACTTTTTTCATCCATTTTTGTGTTTAATCTCAAGCACATATAAAATCATTTTCATCATTTTTCACATACAACTTACACAACTTTACAACTTTGAAACATTTTTCAGAGTGATTTTGTGAAATCAACACCATCTCTTTTTTAAAGTTCAAAAACTTTTGCAAACAAAACTCTTTCTTCTTCAACCTCTAGTTTTGATTTCAGATTTTGCTAATGAGAGATTTTTAATTGATTGAGGGAGACGTTGTCTTGAAACTAATTGTTCTTGCAAGATTGAGGTTGTTGTCATTGATGCTGACAACTTCTAGTGAAAAGAATGAGGTTCTTCTCTCCATGTGTCTTTGGTAGTGACTGTGTGAAAGGCTGCAAACAAGGTGAAGTTCTTTTAAAATATTCAGACAGTTCATCGCTCAAGAAACCAATGGGATTAAGGGGTGGTTACCATGCACGAAGACTGTGAGCAGATTGGTGAAACTGGAAGATTCAAGAAGCGTGAATCGAGTAAAGATTACACAGAAGAGTTTGACATTATGATGTATACAGGTCAATATCTAGATAGAAGATTTATTTTTCTTAACATCATTGTGGACTTGTGATTGTATGAATTCTTACAATATTTGTCAAAATAAAAAAGGAACAAGTAGGTTCCAATGGGAAACCATTGAAGAGTGGAATAGGCAAAACGAGGATGAACGTCGAACCACTATATATCCGATGTAATCTCTCTCTCTCTCTCTCTCTCTCTCTCTCTCTCTCTCTCTCTCTCTCTCTCTCTCTCTCTCTCTCTCTCTCTCGTTTAACTTTTCGTAGGATATTGCATGCTTTTGTTTTCAGTTCTTAGCATAGTTTAGCGTTTATTCTATTAGTAGCAATTTATTACGTAATGTTAGGTTTTGTTAGAATTAGTGTCTACTCAAGCTTTATTGTTGATAAAATTCTTAGAAACTATTAGGTTAAAATTCATTAATATTGAATCGTTGTATAAACACTCCTCGTAGAGTATACAACTGAATCAATTGATTACCTTTGTGTATCATCATAAAATCATTTTTGTTATTTTCGAATTGATTAGGTATTATTAACAAGTTCCAACAAAAGTATAATCTTCATAATTTTGCTTTAAATCTCACGCGTGAATTTTTTAAAAGCCTCTGAAAATCCATTTTGAAGAATTGGTCGAGTTTTAGAATTGTTTTTTAAAGGTTCTATTCACCCCCACTAGACTGTTTCATTACTTCATATTCTTACCTAATAGGTTCTTCCTCAAATCTTGGATGTTGATTTCCTTCTTTACTGTCATTTCCTAACTCGAATTCTCTTGAACACCTCATAAGCCACGTGTGCTAAAAACAAATGCCACATAAGATGATTCAGGCTGGACAAAACATGCCTAATCGGACAACTCGAGACTCGTGCGTCTGATAATCCAATAATTTTTGGCTTGTTTTTCCATGAGTTGTCTCTTTATAGGCCCAATAAATTTATTTTATTTTAAATTTATATAAAAAAAGTATTATTTAATTTATTTTATTTAAGAATATTAATTAATTGTTGAAGGCGTTCTTTCTCTCTATGTTTAGGGAAAGATTGAAAGTTTCTTAAAAATTTAATTAATTGACTCATCAAGTTAGGTAAGTGACTCACTGAGGAAAAAAATATTTTCAATCACTAAATATAAGTCTTTTAGTACTATCTCAAAATAAACAACTATGTATTTGAACATCAAATGATAATATTTTATATATTTAGCTTTATCTCTTTCTTAATTTTATCCTCTAAATTTACACACATTCTTTTTATACAAAACTTAGTACGTATTTTTGTATCTTTTCTTTTTTATATAAAATCTCACATGCATTCTAAAAATACACATACATAAAAAAAAAATTGACATTAATATTTAACATCAATTTTGTATGTTGAAACATCATTACTCGAAAATAAATAATTTCAATTTTGTTGTAGCATTAATTATTTATTACAATCATATTTTTTTAATTAATACTATTAATTAATTACACTATCAAATCAATATCTTTGATTTCATATTTATTAAATTTGAACTCAATCATCATAATATATTTTGACGACCAAATTTTTTATTTAGTAAGCATGATATATAGTGAGTCATTTATGATTTACCCTAGAATAGTAAAAACAGCATGAAACGGTAAAGAAAAGCGAATATTACGGCTTACGTGGCAACAGACACGAATGAAGTAAAAAGAACAGAGCGAAAATCCAGAAATAAGTGAGTGAATAAAAAGAAAGAGGTGGCGGCGGATTCTTGATTAGGATTACTAGTACACTATTACTGCTGCTACTTAAATAGTGTTACGCTTACGCATATCCCTTATTAACAATCCAACGCTTTAAATCTAATCCCCTCACTTAATCCAACGGTTCAAACTACCACCTCGTTCACATATCAATCTAACAAAACCCTCTTATACCCTCGCCGCAATCTCTTTCTCTCACTCATTCATCATTTTTATTCTCTTCATTCATCATATTCATCACAACAACGAAAACCTCTTTGTTATATAGAGGGGTGTAATAAGTAATTTATTAATCGTCAAGATGCAATCAACTAACGGTTCTGAATCGAAACCGACCGAACAGAATACTCAAACTCAACAACGGCCACCCAAAACGCCGCCGCATTCACTTACAGTTCCTCCGCCACATCAACAGTTGGTTCCGATGCAATACCCGGCGGCAATGGTAATGCCGCACCATATGTTACCGCCGCAACATTATGCACTGCCACCGCATCATTATGTGCCTTATCATCACTATCAGCATCACGTGCCGCACGTGCATCAAGGATCTAGTGTTGTTGAGAATAAGACCATCTGGGTTGGTGATTTGCAGCATTGGATGGATGAGAATTATCTTCACCGTTGTTTCGCTTCTAACGGCGAGGTAGTTTCTTTTTGTTTTTATACTTTTCGTTTTTTCGTTTTTGCGTTTTTTTTTTGTTGCTTTTTGTTGATTTTTATGAGCATTTAATCGTACTTTTTTGTTTTGCTACTTTATGTCTTTTGATATTGATGTTATTGATTGTAAAGTTTGGGAAAATAAACCATGTTTGTAATTGGTTTGTCGTTTATTACTTCTTTTGGGTTTTCTGTCAAACTCACCAAGAATTGAAACAGTTTTTTTTTTCTTTTCTATATAATTGTTAGGTTAAAATTAAAGATAGAGTAATTGAATGTCTGAACTCATCATCAGTGTGATAAAAGTTTTTGTTTAAATACGGTTGCGCGATTTTGGTCTATACTGGTGTTTTAACATTGATTGCGGTGAATTAATCAAAATTTGTTCTTTATCATAAAAACATAAAAACTTTGAGTAACAATATCGGTGGTATCGGCGCCTTCCTTGTCGTGGCTGTTTTCACGGACCGTTTTTTAAAACCTTGATTAGAACTATTAACAGTTTAGAATTAAGGAGGAGGTTGAAGTTTTTACCCTTTTGACTTGGGCTTAAGTGGGGAAGGTTTCAGGTACAGTTGTTTGTTGCAGGTTTAACTAAAAAAAGTGACATTGTTTTTTTTTTTTGCCGTTTTTGTTTTGTGAAAAATACTATACTATAATCTTAAAAGCTTACTGTATGTTTGTATTTGCGGTGATAATGGCAGAATCAAGGTGATATTGTGATAGGAGCTACACTTTAGAGCTTCAATGAAATCACAATGTCTCGTGATTTTGCCAAATTCGTGAATCATCCGAATATACACTTATTTGTCATAGAAAATTGGTTCATGAGTTTCTCTTTTTGTTTGAGATGGATAAGCTATTGCTTATAATTGGCTTGCATTTTTTTTCTTTTGCAGATTTTCTCAATTAAGGTTATTCGCAATAAGCAGACGGGTCAACCAGAGGGTTATGGATTTGTGGAATTCCATTCACATGTGATCGCAGAGAATATTTTAGTGAATTATGCTGGGATGTTGATGCCTAACACAGACCAACCTTTTCGCCTTAACTGGGCAACATTTAGCACAGGAGATCACAAACGATCAGATAATGTCCCTGATCTTTCTCTTTTTGTAGGAGATTTAGCTGCAGATGTTACAGATAGCACGTTGCTTGAAGTTTTTTCTAATAAATACCCTTCTGTTAAAGCTGCAAAAGTTGTTTTTGATGCCAATACCGGCCGCTCAAAGGGTTATGGTTTCGTCAGGTTTGGAGATGATAATGAGAGGACTAAGGCTTTGAGTGAAATGAATGGTGTTTATTGTTCTAGCAGGCCTATGCGAATTGGTGCTGCAACTCCTAGGAAATCTGGCTATCAACAAGGTATGGCAACTCATATAGTACCTCACATCTGAAATTTTACGATTTGGGTGTGGCGTGATGGTATTTGTTCCTTAGTAGGCAAGTAACAAAATCATAGTACTCCTTTAACCCATTTACACATTCATTTCTCTTTGTCACAGTTTCCAATCTCCATTGGCTTGTTTTTTCATGTTCTCTAATTTAACATTTGCATTTGGTTTCAACTACATGCTGCCGGGAAAATTTGGAACGTCCCTACTTGTATTGTGTGTTGAATAAGTTTGTTTCTTGGTATAGGAAGGCACTCAAATAACACATCCAACCAATCTGAAGCCGATTCTACAAATACAACTGTAAGTTTTTCAGCTTTTTATTTAGAAAAGTTAATTTGTCACTAATTTTCAACGGATGGTCATTATAGATATTTGTTGGAGGACTTGACCCTAGTGCTACTGCTGAAGATCTTAGACAACCATTCTCCCAGTATGGTGAGATAGTCTCTGTTAAGATACCTGTTGGAAAAGGATGTGGTTTTGTACAATTTGCTAACAGGTAAAATTTATATCCGTTTTCATATCTCTGTGATAAGAGATAACATGTTTTTTCCCCTTTCTTTCTCTTTGTGTGTTTACTAATTAATCATTCTAAATAATCTGCAGAAATAATGCAGAAGAGGCATTGCAGAAGCTAAATGGTACAACAGTTGGCAAGCAAACTGTTCGCCTTTCTTGGGGCCGCAATCCGGCAAATAAGCAGGTAATCATTCTCGACCATACTCTTTAAACCCACCTTTGAAGCATAACTAGTTCTAAAATTGTGAAGTACTAGCATACAGGATACGTACCCGTACGAGGTACTTCATTTTTTCTCATTTTATGTATTAAATAAAATTTGTAGTTTTTTCATGTATTAACATAATAGACTTGTGCGTTTTAGTTTGATACATTTTTAGAGAAATTCATATTCTTCATCTTTGGATGCTTATTGATCTATAGGGGCAAGTGTAATTTAATGACCAATAACTCACCTAGTTATACCAAGAATAGTAGAGATGATCAATTTGGTTCTTGGCTTCTAAATTTAATAGAGTAAATTTTAATGCAATTGTGTTCTAATTTTTTCGCTTAATGATGTTATGTCGTAATTTATTTTCAAAAACGATAAACTTTCTAGCAACTTATGAAATACCAGATTGTCGTCTTGCCGTCATTAATTGCATTGTGATTATTCTATCTTATCTCACCTGACATATCTCTTTCGATAACAGCTTAGAATGGACTTTGGTAGTCCCTGGAATAGTCCTTATTACGGGGGAGGACCTGTTTACGATGGTTACGGGTATGCTTTGCCTCACCCTCATGACCCGAGCATGTATGCTGCTGCTTACGGAGCTTACCCCATTTATGGAGGAGGACATCAACAGCAAGTAAGCTAAAAAAACTGTAGTGCAGAAGTAATACTCACAACAGAATCATGTTTGAATGAGAAAACTGAACTTTCCTCCCTTGTAACTTGCTTGAATCCCTCCTAATTGTGGAGTGGAGTTGAATTTTGTTAACCTGGGGTAGCACGGTAGGAATTCAATTAATCATTCGTTTAGACTCGTAGGAGTAGGAATGAAGAACTTAAAAACTTGTTTATTAGAATAATTATCTCTATTTATGACTGCACTAGCTAATGCCTGAAATCCAGAGGTCCTTCCTTGGCTCTTTGCGTTTCTTCTGGGTCAATATTTTAACTGCATGCTGTTTATACTTGAAACTTCGTTTACTTTGATGATCTACATGATCTTTGAAGTTCTGATTTTTCCTCTGGTGCTATCATGGTTTAACTAATATAATATGATTTTGACCAAAATTGTTTAGCACTTTGCACCCAACACATTTAATGATTTTTAAGCACTTGATTTGATTTGGCATAGCTACGTGGTTTGAAACTAAAACTGTTTCAAGAGACAAACTTGCTTCTGCTGTTATTTAACTGTACCAAATTTGTCTTTTTAAGGAGTGCATGCTGTGGCCTTTTTAAAAAGTGTGTTTAACTTGTGTTTGTAAAAATAACTTGGTGGCTGTGTCTATATTTGTTGAGTCATTATTTTTACATAAAGTAAATAAGATTACATGAGATATTTTTTTCCAGATAAACATAGAATAGCAAATAGTAATATATAGCACGTACATGAGTCGAGTTAGGCTTTATTAGGTATGTTTCTGATCTACTAAAAAATGCTAAGTCTAAGTCTAAGTCTGGTACCTAATTTATCATAGGTTTATTTTTTGGTCCGAGTCTAGCTTTTTCCGAATGTTTGATTGGTTTATTAACCTATTTAAAAGTCTATTTCATTTAAATATTTGTAAAATAGCAATTCAACTAATGTAAATAGACTATCAAATCGAAAAGATCAACGAGTATAAATCTTTCTTTTCATTGACTCATTCGAGTTTACTATTAACATAAATTTTGTGATACTATTTATTTAATATAACGTATTTAAACAATTTATAATATTGTTCGTAAGAATTTTTTAACTTATTTTTATAATATCTTTAAGATAAATATGTTTTATTTTCATATTTTAATTCAAAGTATAAAATATAATATGAAAATAATAAATTTATTTATGTATATTTAAATAGGCTGGTTTGATATGTTATTACTTAATCGATAAAATTGTTTAGCAGAAATATTCAAACATCCATATATATATATATATATATAAGGATTTTGAAAGTTTATGATTTTCACATATTTGGATTCGATGACTAAGTCATAGCAGCAAACACACAAATTGATTTATCTCCCCTTCTTCCCTCACTGACACACACAGAAAAGTGATGATCCTTATGAACAGGGACAAGATTAATATATAGATGGTGTCATTTAATTTGTGACGTCCATCATATCTTAGTATTAACGGATGAGATTGATTACTTGCAGTGGTTACTAAACAATAATTTACTCTAATTTGCTCAACTTCATTGATTTAAAGGTTACCATAATAATAATTGTCATTACTTTATTTTATTTTAGGTCATTCATTATCCAAAATTATTTGGGCCATTAATTAAAAGGTTACAAAATTATAAAATAATTTTTTATATTTTCCTACTTGACTCAAATTTGATAGAACCACTATACAATGTATAATACATAAACATTAAAATATTGAATCTTATCCTTGTGAATACATAATTACTTTAGTATAACAAAATACTAAGTGTGGATTATGACGGTCATGTATTATTTTCTAAATACAATTCCTTTCATATACCACAAACACTAATATCCTATTATAGAAGGTGTTTAATCACCATATAAAATTCCATTATGGTCTCACAAGTATTTCTAAAACATTCATGTTATAACTTAATTATTAGTAGAATTATGTGCACAATAACTAGAAACATAAATTAAGATTCAGAAATACATAATCATAAAGAGTTTAAAAAACAATATTAAATACATCATTCAAGAGGGATAACCAAAACTCATTCTATGTACATGTTTTTAAAATGTCTTTGGTTGTAACCCTTTAGTTAACGAATCAACAATCATAAGGTATGTTCTGATATGCTCTATAGATACTCTTTGTTTCTGAACTTCTTCCTTAACAGAGAAATACTTTAGCTCCATGTGCTTTGCACCCTTTGAGTAGTTGTCATTTTTAGAAAAAATATCGTTGCGGAATTATCACAGTAAATTTTCAATGGTTTGATAATGGTGTTAACTACCCCAAGTTTTGAAATAAAATTTCGCAACCATAATGTCTGAATTGTAGCTTCAAAACATGCTATAAATTCAGCTTCCATGGTGGAGGAAGCAACAATTGTTTGCTTAACACGTTTCCATGATATGGCTCCTTCTCCAAGAAGAAATATGTAGTCAAATGTATATTTTCTAGTGTAAACACATCCATCAAAATCAGAGTCTGAATATTCATCTCTTTCCAATTGATTGGATCTTCTGTACATAAGCATGTAATCCTTAGTACCTTGAAGATACCTCAAAATTTTATTTACAGCTTTCCAATGATCAATTTCAGGATTACTTTGATACCTTCCTAATATTCCAATCGTGAAACTAATATCCAGTCTTGTGGAGGTTTGCACATACATCAGACTACCAACTAAAGAACCATATGGAATTGATTCCATTTGTTTCCGCTCTATGTCATTCTTTGGACATCGCATAAGACGAAATTTGTCTCCTTTCTGAATTGGTACAATTTCAAGAGAACAATTTTCCATGTTAAATCTCTCTAAAACTTTCTTGATATAGACCTTTTGAGACAATTCCAACAATCCTTGTGATCTATCACAAAATATTTTAATTTCTATCACATAGGATGCCTCTCCTAAATCTTTCATTTCAAAATTTTTAGAGAGATATTCTTGTTTCATACAACATACTTAAACTATTAGTCACAAGCAAGATATCATCAACATATAGGACCAAAAACATAAATTTACTTCCACTGATCTTTCGGTATATGTATTTATCAACTAGATGTTCTTCAAAACTAAAAGAGGTAATGGTATCGTTGAATTTGGTGTACCATTGCCTTGAGGCTTCTTTTAGTCCATATATTGATTTCTTCAGTTTGCACACCATATGATCTTTTCCAAACCTTCAGGTTGGTCCATGTAAACTTTTTCTTCAAGACTACCATTGAGAAAGGTTGTTGTCACATCCATATGGTGTAGCTCTAAATTATAACGAGCCATCAATGCCATGATAATATGCAACGAGTCTTTCTTTGAAACAAGAGAAAATATCTCTTTATAATCAACAACAACTTTTTGAGTATATCTTTTAGTAACAAGTTAGGCTTTATATTGCTCAATATTGCCATTTAAGTCTTGCCTGGTCTTAAAGACCCACTTACAGCCAACTCATTTAGCTTCTTTAGGAAACTCGACGATTTCTCAAACTTCATTTTCTTGCATGGATTTTAACTCTTCTTTCACGACATCAATCCATTTCTTTGACTCAAAACTATCCATGGCTTCTAAAAAAGAAACTAGATCTTTATTAATCCCTATGTCTGACTCTAACAAATAAGTATCATAAATACTTGGAATAGTTGATTTTATTTCTCTTTGAGATCTTCTCAAAGGTACTTCTTGAGACTCATTTAGTTCAGAGACTTGTGAGTTCATATCTTCATCTAGAGTGTTATCATTCAAACTTTGTTCGTTGTTGTTAGAATGTTCTTGAAAAACAGGAACAACATTTGGAACAATTGTTGACAAAGGAATACTTATAAGTAAAGTGACATTTACCTTAACTTCCTTTATGTCAACATTTCGTTATTTCTCACTCCCAATAACTTCACCATTTTCAAGGAATTTTGCATTGCTAGTTTCTATAATTCTTTGATTATGATTAGGAAAATAAAAGATATATCCTTTAGACTTCTCTGAGTAACTAATAAAGTAATCACTTATTGTTCGAGAGTTTAACTTCTTTTCATGTGGATTATATACTCTTGCTTCTACTGTGCAACCCCAAACATTCAGATGCCTTAAACTCAGTTTCCTACTTGTCCATAACTCAAAAGGAGTTTTAGGAACAACTTTGCTAGGAGCTTTGTTTAATAAATACATAGCAATATTTAACGCACACATCCATAAAAATTTGGGCAATGATGAATTTCTTATCATACTCCTAACCATATCCATTAGTATTCGATTACACCTTTCTGCCACACCATTTTGGCGTGGTGTGTATGACATTGTGTAATATGTATGAATACCACGACTTTCAAGAATTTTTGCAAATGGCTCTGGACATTGTCCTGTTTCACCATGTTTTCCACAATATTCACCACCTCTATCAGATCTTACGAGTTTCACTTTCTTATCTAATTGTCTTTCAACTTCTTTAATGAAAATATCAAAAGCATCAACTGCTCGAGACTTTTTCTTAAGTAAATAGATATATCCATAACGTGAAAAGTCATCAATGAAGTGATGAAATATTTTTCTCCACCAATAGATGGAGTGTTAAAAGGTCCACATATATCAGTATGTATAATTTCAAAAAGTTGGCTGCTTCTTGTGGCACTTTTCTTACTATGTCTAGTTTGCTTTCCCTTAATGCAATCCACACATAACCCAAGACCAGTAAAATCTCATTCTTTACCAACCTTTATAATCTTTCCTTGGATATGTGACCCAAATGTTTATGCCATAAGTATGCAGAATTTTCATTAAGCATGTTACGTTTAATTCTTATACTTTAATGTTCGGTAAGCAATAATTCATAAAATTGATCATGTAGTTTCAATCTATACAAACCATAAATAATATAACAAGAACCAAAAAATTTATTATTGTTGCACAAATTAAAACAACCATGTCCACCATTAAATTCAAAACCACAATTGTCTAACTTTGAAAGAGAAACTAAACTCCTAGACATTGAAGGTACATA